CGAGTGTTTTATTGCTTCACTAGTTTTAATCAATTCAGCAATCTACGGAGTTACAGTTAGGGCTGTTTTTATAAGGTAACTAATACTACTTTGGTAAATAACTGAAGACTTAAAAATATAGATATCTTTACAGAGTTATGCCCCCGTAATCACGTTATATGATTCATCACAAGCTTATAACAGTTGATAAATTAGGATTCTGCCACAATTAGTAAATAATGTTTTGTTTACTTATCTCATTTATCTTAGAAGTTTCTTCAAGTTACTTTTGTAGCCAAGTTAGATCACAATGCCCATTCATGCTTCTCTGTTTTCAGGTGACCAGAATGAAATTTCAGATGGCCGCAGTCTCCTACAAGCTCTTGATCTGATTCCAGATGACCTCTTGATGGAGCTTCTAAAGGAGGATCGGCCAAGTGTATGGAGTGAAATCTCCCCATCCGCGACTAATAACGGCACCACCACTTTCCCTCCTGAGGGCAGCTCCAAAGGCCTCGGAGTAACGCCTCTAGTCGACTCAATAGTACAAGAGGGTAACGGTTTAGAATTTGCTGCAAAAAGCGACACTTTGGTGACTCCTGATAATTCCGAGGGCTGTTTTTCGCAAATTCTATTTCACAGTCTTTCCACTTCTTCTCTTCCAGTAAATATGTCTTGCATTTCATATTCTGACTATAACGGATCTTCTCCGCCCTTTGAAACGGATTTGCCTTCTTGCACCTCTCGTCAGCTGAGCAGAAGTTTGTCCGAGGTATCTATATCAAAGTGTTCTGAGATAGCTGATGAATTATCTGCCAGCGTAGAATGTGCAATGACAAAAGAACTTGTTTCAGAAACCGATATTGGTTCTTCTGCAAACGAGAACGGGGAAATAAATGATAATGATGAATTCAAAGACGATAATCATCCTTTTACCTTTCGATCTCTTCAGAATGCTTCAAGCGAAAAGATGAGTCTTACTGGGGAGACAAAGCATCTGCAGCATCATATTCCTTCGAAGCGCAACAGAAGTATTAGCCCTTCAGAGCTTGGTGACTCAGGTCCATCATCGTCTGTATGGACTATGGAGAGCCTTGATTTAGATTCAACTGTTCTCTCTTCATCCTTGCGCCACTCTCCTAATTATCAACCAAAGCTATGTTCTACTGGTGTCTTGTCAGACCTGACCGCTGCGCTTATCTTGCCTGAGACCCAGCATCGTCTAGAGGCTCGCGGTAAACTTCCGGCCCGTTATGACACCTGGTACCAACGGTCCTACTCCCCTCGTATCGATCTAGATGTCGAACCGCCGCGTTCCAAGGCTTTTTGCGTTCAGCCCGACTCGGTGAACCTCACATCAGAGGCCAAACGCGCAATTCAGAACTGTGATGAACAGGCCTCAACCGGCCAGCGGCCACTTAGGCTACGACAGGCTAAGCGGAGCCACACCTTTAGTGCCTTCGGAGGCCATCTTGGAGAACGATTGTCTACTGAGTTCGTTTCACCAAAAGATGAAGTCACCCAGGAGCTACCGAGCATCACCGACTGGCTCATTAGTCAAAAAGATAAATATCTTGGAGAACCAAATAATTCCACTTTCTTATTTAATTCTTTTCCTTCATCCGTATCTTCCTCAATCCCTTCTTATTCTAATTCATCATCCCCCGTTTTATCATCTTCAACCTTGGGTACTGAGACTTCGGATGTCTCATTCTATACTGCCAACGGCGATTTCCCCCCCTGCTTTAGTCGCATCCAAGAAAACACTTCAGTCGCCATATCCACAGCCCCCTCAGACCATCGTATGCGCCAAGTTCGTTCTAATTTGAGGCCAGAGCACCAGCTTCCCCATTTTTCGCGACCCCAGAATACGCGTTTTTTCGGACCTACCAACCCACAACCTCTACAGGCCTTAAATGATACAACACTGAATGATCAACAGTCACAGTTTCCAGGCCAGCAACTTAGTAAGGGCGATCATCAACTATGTCGTATACCCCCAAAAACGATAGGCCAGCTCTCTTCTCAATTTTCTGACATAGCCTCAGCTAGACCCTCTTCCCGAAGATTAGTTTCTTCATCCTCTTCATCCGGCGTTTCTTCTTGCTCAAATTTGTCGCCACAAGCTCTCACCACCTTATCTTCTGTTTCAAGAATCACTTCTTCAACCGCTTCCTCTGTCGGCTGTCTGTTTTCTGTTGCTACGCCTTCTTTCCCAGCCACATCTCTTCCTAACGGGCAACAACATCTACAGTCGCAGGCATTTCCATCATCTCGTCTCTCTTTCCAAATGGTCGCTCCTATACTTACCAGGAATAGGGGTTGTTTGAACTCGACTTGGAACACGCCTACTGTTAAATCTTCCGGACTTTCTAGCCTTCCGATTTCCTCCCTTGATCGAGATTCCATCGTACAACAAGGGCAGCAGCAACTTCCCTTGTCTTATTTTGGCCTATCCTCAACTGTAACAGCAAATACAGCGGCAGTATCATCTCTGTGCAGTACAAGCGGCATCGGGAAACGCCGCCGCAACGCATCTGACTCTTCACCAAATAGCTTAATTAGTATTATGCAGACTGGCAGAGTTTCTTGTGCTGGAAATGATGTGGATGGAGCTGGGTCCCGGCCATCAACTCTCAACTCCGGGACGGCATTTCTAACCATCAAGCGGCGAGATCAGCCAGTGACTGCGCAGTTACTAAATCAAGAGGCGAACCAAAAAGTAAAGAATCCTGATGAATCTAGCCTTGGCGGGATCGAATTTGCGATGGGAACTGGTATTGGTTGTGTAACAAATGGTATACTTTGCAGGAAAACTGATTTAGACGATGATAATGTTGAGCAATGGGATAGGCAAATGGACAACATTAATAGTAAAGATCCCGGCTTCCGTCGCGTTGTAATTTACCGTAGCCTTACTTCGCCACTTACTGAATACTCTGACACTGCGACCAGTCTCTTGGCTGCTGCTGTCACTGACTCTCCTCTTGTATCCGCCAAAAGGGTAAGAAGTGGTTTTATTAATGATTTATTTCACATATTTGCTCTACATTGGTAAATAAGGTGATTTTTCAGGTATCACATTTGGTATCACGCCTCAAATATATTACTTGGTAAAAGCGCATGCTATTAATGAATGTAATGATAATGTGGAGGGAACTATTACCATGATCAGTAATTACAAATTCAGGCGTTTAAAAAATCCAGGGTATAACAAAAGGCGAAATTTTGAAATTCCTATATTTATTTTGCGCTTTTGATCCATGCTCCTTGTAGAGCGTCTTAAGATAGCACATATTCTGCGAGCATTGGGAAATAATCACTGCTAATGTCATACGGATGTCGTTGATTAACCAAGATGATTGCTTTGGTAGTAATATGAACTTGTCAAAACCTACTTAGCGTTACTACAAAGATCAGGAAAATGTAACATTTTCTATCATGCTGAGACATAAGGATGGCCTGAATATTGTATGTTAAAGATTGTCTAGCCGAGAGGGCAAACATTCCTGTTTATAAGTCATAACAGATGTGCGATGTATATTACATCAAATCGGCTAGTTGATTTGGTATTTTAGCTAATATTCATGCTCATCTTTATGGAATTCGTTTTGAGTAGGATTTCTAAACTATCAACAGGCTTTGAATTAGACCGCAATCTAGACCGCTTAAGGCGAGGAAGACCTGATAGCGAATTTTCTCACATTAATGTGATTATGTCCCACGACGCCATAAGATAATGTCGAATTTATACGTTGCTTTATTCGGGTTCAATTGTTAGGGTTGCTGTTGAAACTCGGGTGAGATAGAAACTGCAGTCCATTTTTTATGCGAATATCTTTGGAGAAGCAAAGCTAAGGTAAATTCAAATGCATCATGAGGGCTATTTATCACAGGAAAATTCACTATCAGTCCTTCATCACCTTGGGTAATCTAGAATGACTAAAGATCTCCATAGTGGTTTTATAGCTTTTAGATGGTACTTTGTTACACAGTAACTGCTATTTTTCAGCCACCCTCAGCCTATTGAACGCCCAGAGAACAGTTCGGATTAGATCTTGTCAAGTTGCTATATAAAACAATATATTTTTCTTATTTTGCATTTATTTTAATGCACATTAAGCATATAATTAATTGGGACTTGTAAATTAGCTTTTATTCTGTTATTATTTGATAGAACAGATAGCACCTAGTGTTTTACTTGCAGCAATTATCAAAATTAATTATTTTCGTTTTGAGTAGGTTTTCAAGACTATTACACAATTGAAACACATCTCATATATATGAAATAATCGAAGGTATGAAGACCAAGATGG